TAACCCAGCTTGTTGTAAGGCTTTGAGACCTTTACCTTTCTTTCATGTTTCAAAGGAAGGCAATGGTATAATGTCCTTTGTGTGACACACCACCCCAGAACTTGGCAGCCAGACGCAGGTGCTGGGCAAAGGTGCTCCACGGCACCCACGTGTCCAGCTGGCTCCAGAGCTGGGCAGGAGCCGCTCGCTGCTCACAGCACATCAGCCACCCCGCGCCCTGCTCAGCATTCTTATAGACCCAAAAACCAATCTTACACACCTGGAAGTATGTCTAAATACCCTCTGGTGACAGTCACAGCTTTACACTGATGTTGGAGACCCTCTGTACAGCAGAAATTACCAAAGAAAATTTTGTACCACCCAGTCCTTTTTTTGGGAGAGGTAAAACAGAAAACAGCTAAGTTGGCTCAATAAATATAAGCTACATATGTTGCTTTCCTCTGACATTCTGACCCTCTTTTGGAAGATTTCTCTTCTTTCATACATTCCCCAACACATTTTAATGCAGTTAACTAAATGAAACAGTTCATTGTTCTCACCTTAACCAATTTACAAACACAATCTTTTTTTTTTTTTTTTTTTTTTTAATCTCAAAGGATGCACTGATCTTTACCTTTGCCAAGTAGAACACAAATACTGGAGAACAAAGGGCAAAATTTTCCATTATGTTTAGTCTGAAAAGCTCCAGGACTCATTTGAAGAAATGCTGGGAACCATATATTGTCATTGTGGGAGGAATTACAGTAAACACCTCTATTTGGCTCTTCAAACTCAAAAGAAGAACTGAGAGATTGTCTAAGCAGAATTAAGAGCTTGACTAAGATAAGACTTCACTTAATTGTTATATGAAGCAGATCCCATCCTGTAGAAAATTACCCTTCAGAAAGTCATTCCAGTTGTTATTATTTTAACTGCTTAAATAAAACTCTAATTCTGGCTAGTGCTGGCTTCAAGATTTGCCATACATCAATATACATGGGTGGCTGTGACTGTACTGTGTAATTTTATTGTGTGCTGAAAATATTGTTTTATAAAGCAAGTGTCTTAGAGACTATGTAAACTCACAAACTTCCAATTAATAAAGTGAATAAATTGATCTTTGAAGTCTCTTCTCAACCAACATTTTTCTAAACCTTTACTAATTTTCCCTATAATTTTTTAACTATGTGCAATTTATCCTAGAATGAGGACACTGTAGCTGAATACAATATTCTGAAAGCATTTACCTTGAAAGACAGATGAGACAGAATATGTGTAACTTCACGTCTTGTATTTGATAACCTCATGTTTATAGTTCAAAAAGACTACTCACTACCCCTTTCGGGCACAGTGTTCCAGAGGGAGCTTACTTCAGTGATTGTCTACCATGATCTTCAGGTTTGTTCAAACTTCACATTGTGCCTTCTGCTTCCTGAAAGTTAACAGCATGGAATAATTTACATGAGAAAGACGAGGAGCAGAAAAGATCTTGACACTGTGTAAGCACTGTTCAGCAGTAACTAAAACATCCCTGAGTTACCAACAGTTTTCAGCACAAATCCCAAACACAGCCCCATACCAGTTACTGTGAAGAACTTTAACTCTGTCCCTGACAAAGCCAGTGGAGTCTGAACCAAAAATTGTCTTGAAATAATTTATAAGTGTTTATCAATATTATAATGCATGTGATTGTACAAAGCTCTACAAGGAGGGAAGTGGTGATGATGAGAAAGATCCTTTGGCTGCACTTGATCTCCTTTAAGTTCTTAAGCTGGCAGAGCAACTTTTTACACAGGCAGATCATGATAGGAAAAGGGGCAATAAAAGAGGAAAGGTTTAGATTTGATGTCAGGAAGGAGCCCTTTACTCAGAGGGTGGTGGGGCACTGGAACAAGTTGCCCAGAGAAATTATGGATGCCCCACCTTGGAAGTATTCAATGTCAGGTTGGAAGGAGCCTTGAGCAGCCTGGTCTAGTGAATGACATCCCTGCCCATGACATGGGAGTTGGAATGAGATGTCTTTCAGGTCATTTAACCCAAGATATTCTGTGATTCTATGATTATTATTCTAAGACTACTGCAAATTCTTCTTTTATTCCTAAATGATAAGATCTTACTTTTTTTTTTTCACTATTGCAATAAATAATGGTAATTTAACCTCCTAAACTTGTCTGACGTTAATATTTTGGACTGTAGATATAATTTTTAATTTTAGCAAATGGTCAATATATTTCAGGGCTCCTTTTTGGAGTGAGCATTTGTGTTTCACACTCTGTGGATTTCTCCTTCTGCCAGCACACAAAGGACTATAGGGTCACCCCCTAGCTGGGCTAGCAGGATCAGAGAAGCCACTTGTTTTTCAGAAATGTGAGGCAGAATAAAAGTAACTTGTGCTCTCTGGGGCTATTTATCTGCAAGTTACCTAGAAATTTGGACCTGCAAAGGTCAAAATACAGTACTTTATATAAAAATGTAGTACTTTACTATATAGTAAAATACAAACTGTGTGTAGTTGCAATTTATGTTATGGATAAACATAACATAAGTTTACGTTGCTAGAAGGCCTTGCAGAATTCTCTTAAAGGTGGGTGGCATTTTTCTGCTGCTTTCTCCATAAACTGCCTTCCAGTTTTTAAAGCTGAACTTACCTAACTTCCTGTGTAATATTTTTAACAATTTCCTTCTAGTTCTATCAGTTGGTGTATAAGCCATCTCTATTAATTTGGTCACTCATAATATAAATCATATTAGGAGAAAATTAGGCTGTCAGCAAAAACCCTAAGAAAATACAGGGAAACTCCTGCATTTTTCAGAATATTGTGAGAAATATGGATTCCAGCAGGTTTTCAGGCTCTGCTGGAGTGGCAGGGACTAATGAAAGTTACTGTACACCACCCACTGAACAGAGTTAAGTAGACAGTCTGATTAATTAAAGTGTCACTTCAGCCAATTGTTTCAATTTCCCTTTCTCACAAAATAAAACTCCAACAAAAAATGATGGGAAAAACCTATTAGGTTATTTAGGTAATTTCCTGTCCTTGCAGAATAGTCCCTCCAATGCCATTTTTATTCCAATTTGTTCAATGCAGTTTAAAGGCTTGGAAAGGTGTAAACCACAGCTGATGATGGCCACAGAGGGATTTACTGTCTGCTAAACCCTGATCTCAATCCTGACACACAACATATTGTATATTGTAACATCATAACAGTATTGTATATTGTCTACTCAAATAATGTCCTTGCACCTCTCTATAGAGTGAACATTCCTATACAGCAAATACCTAAAGGCTATGCTAGAAACTTCCTGCTCATTGTCCTCCAGTGTCAGACAAGACCTGCAGTGTTTTGAGTTTTGTCAAAACACTTGAAGAATAATCCAGATGCAATCACCTTTTGTAATATCTGAGCACTGTGTCATGGGCTGCAGTGGTGAGAAAGGGATTAAAGTCTCTTTTCTTGCCAGAGGCCAGTGTTCCTGATTTGCTCTGTCTCTGTAGTGTGGTGCAATCCAGCTGGTTGAATGGAAAATCATATATAATATATAACCCAATCCAAAATACATCAAATTGAAGTATCAAAGCCTTGGCTTCTAGAAAGTTTGTTTTTTCCTTATTTTTTGTGTGACATTTGTTTCAGGTGTTTGTAGCCCCATTGTCCTGCCTTTCCATGTGGAAGCATGCATTTTTACTGTAAAAGCAATCTGGTTACCAAAATTTTAACAGCATTTTTGAACAGAATTATGAGTATTGTTGTTACAGTTCTCTGGGATTGAAAACTATTACTGATTTCCATATTTCCCCCAAAGAGTAGCAGAAGATTCCACTTTTTCAATGAAACAATTGGGAAGATAAGTACAGTTCTGAACACCATCAAAGGCTTAGTGGCTCTGGGTCAGGAGTATACAGAGAGACATAATCGAATAAAATCCCTCCTCTCAGAGGCAGGCTCTATTAGATGCATGGGGAAAATGCACTTAAATGAAAATAGTAGCCTATACTCATCTATCTCTGCTATTTCACTAACAGAGTGAGAATTAAAATATTATATTCCAGGCCTTACAACTTATTTTCTACATTTCTGCACTCACTTTCTGCTCCCTCTGTACTGTACATGTAGTACATGTAAACACCCATAGTTTTGGATGTATAGTCTAGGTAAGGCACCTCTGTTTACCATGAGATCTTTGTCTTTATACCATATATTAACTCTGCAGCCATGGAAACGGAATGAAAATGCTGCTTTTTCATGCCAAGTTAAAACCTTCCTTCCTCCTTAAAACTTTCCTTTCCTTAAAACTTTGCCTTCCTCTGAGAAGGCAGCAGATCCCCCTGGCTGAAGAAACCACCTGGATGGACATCAATAGGTCTGCTACCTTTGGTGTTCAAGAGCTAGAGATACAGCAGTAAATTCTGAGTGCCTTCGGAAGTAACTTTCGTATTAAATGAACTAGGCATAAAATATGTGAGTCTCTTGTGCTTGGGTAGGTTCTTCGCGGTCTAATTACAATATCTAACACAATTTGAATACAGTGTTTTGAGAAAACAGAGAACAATTGTGGATTAACCCAACGGATGGTATTTGTAGCAGCGAAGCTAAGAGAGGTTTAAAAAACCTTAAAAAAACCCTTCTTTAAAGCCACCTCTGTTTCCTCAAGATATAAATTCTGTCCTGAATAGGTGTGGATTTTTTTTTTTTTTTTGGTTTTTTTTTTGGTTTTTTTTAATAACTGTTCTGGGTGTGTCAGGCAGAATACCTGCCAATTAATTTAAAAGAATACAACCACTATATGCAAGCGAAGTGTACCTAACCTAAAACCGGATGATGCAACACCGCAATACTTTAAGGCAAGGGCCTGGAAAACGGGAAAGACAAGCGAAACCTCATTTCTGTTGCCCTGCTAAGCTGCGGGAGCCTGGCGCTGCGAGAAGCGCTGTGAGGTCTCTCAGGCACTCCAGCAGTGGGTGCCAGGGAAGGCTTTGGGAAGGAGCGCTGCCCACGCCCGGCGCTCGGAGCCCGCCGGGCGCTGCCGCCCCGGCGCGGCCCGGGCGACTCGGCCGCGGGCGGTTCTGGCGGCCCGAGCGCCGCGCCCTTCCCCGGCTCCATGTCGGCGTGGCTCGGCCGGGCGGCGCTGCTGCTGGGGCGGCCGGGGGGCCTCGCCGCCGTCCCCTCGTCCTGCCTGGGCTCGCTGCGGGGCCCGCGGTGCTGCTGCCGCCGCCGCCTGGGGAGCCTGCGGGGCGGCGCCGAGGGGCTGCTCCTCCCGCGGGGGTCGCGGGCGCTGGGCACCCACCCCAAGAAAGAGCCGATGGAGGCGCTGAACACAGCGCAGGGGGCCCGCGACTTCATCTATAGCCTGCACTCCACAGAGCGGAGCTGCCTGCTGCGGGAGCTCCACCGCTTCGAGTCCATCGCCATCGCCCAAGGTGAGCCGCGACCCGCCCCGAGCCCGGCTGGGGGTGGGAGGGCCGGGCCGGAGCGGGGGCTGAGCCTCCGAACTTTGGGGGTCCTCCCGCCCTCGCCCAAGCGACTCCTTCGGGCGAGTAGGAAACTCCAGCAGAAGGAGGCATCGAGACGCGCTCGCCCCTGTGTGTTCGCGTAATTGGGTGTAAATGAGGCACAAGACCTGAAATTTAGTTTCCAGAAGCATCCGCAGCCACTTTGGAACTTAAATCAGTCAGCCCAGTGTGCCAAATCCTCGGTGGGTCTGTCATCTCACCCGGTGTTTCAGAGAGCCACGGGTGGCCATTTTTCGGAATGGGAGTAGGAAAGTGTGTCTGATAAAATCCTCCTGACACCAGGGCAGCAGTAAATTGATTTCAGACCTCTTAAGAGACGCCGGGCTGCTGCTGCTCTGCGAGCTCATTCATGAGTTACACTTCCCTGCACGGAGAGCTGCCGGCGCTGCTTCTTGGAAGTGTCGGTTCTCATTCGGGAAGGTGTGTGTGTGCTGGGAAGGTTTACAGATGTATCTCTGAATACAGGGCTATGCAATGCCAATTAAAGTAATTCACTGTGATTTTTCTCATCTGATCCAGCTGTTCTTGCCAACTTGACACTATTCTTTAAACAAATCAAAACGTGACAAAACCAAATCCTCTTAATTACAGCCTCCTTACTTCTAGTTCTGATCCTCGGCTGTAATTTACAATCCCTATTGCATCGAAGATGATAGCGGGTACTTAAGAGATCAGTGTGCATTTGATCTAGGCCTCTTTGTGAATTTGATAGTAGCGTGCCCTTGGAAAGGGCATTTCTGTGTCTTGTGGCTTCTCTGTAGATGTCTGGAAGAAAATTTGGGTAGGCAGAGAACAGGTCTGAGGGTCAGCTGTAAAAGTGTTCCTTTTGTGAAGAGACAGAACCCTTTCAGGTATCTCTTTGGTTTTGTTTGTAGCACACTTGCATATAAACACTAGTGTTTCTAGTCTAGTTTTCTAGAGCTAGAGTAGTTCGCTTAAATGCCTCATTTTGGGAGCAGCAGCGCTTCTGTTTTACAGTGAATCAGTTTTGTTTTACAACGCAGAGAGTAGAATGCTTTGAACTATAAGTTGACACTAACTTTTGAATACTAACAACTAATAATACTCTTCCCATATAATCCTTCTCAGTGTCTGAAGGGTTCTTGCCATGAGGTTTTTGTGTGAGTTTCTGTCTCATCGGTTATTGCTCAGGTTAAATAGAATGGAACTGTGTACCTGGAAGATCGTGTGCTGGATATCAAAATGAGATTTCAAAGTTTCGGTATAGTGTCTCAACTTTTATACAGGTGTAAATCAAGAGATGGTCATATTTAATATCTTGCTGTTCAGATACTGTTAGTTATAATGTGAAAGTCTGTTGTGTAAAATGCTGTGACTTTCTGATGATTCAGGATGTAGAAGCAAAGTAACAGTAGCATTAGTTTGCGTTTAGACATTTTACTGCATGGGAGTTTATTAGTTGGTTTTAAGTTTATTCCACTAGTGGAAATTGTAGTTCACTTGTGCCTGAAACTGTAATCATTAATCTTGCTGGAGAGATTGTTTCAGCAAAATCTCAGTTGTGGGCTTAGTAGTCTCATATGTAAGGGCTGCATAAAGTGTTGTAGTGCCATCGGACCTCATCCTTGGAGTCAGATTGTTGATCTGCCGATCTAGCTTGATAAGACTTTTTTTGTAGATAACCTTTTCCTTTAGCCAGCTCTATTAATGGGATGTTTTTACAAGACTGCAACATGGTAACAGCTTTCAGCTTTTACCTATAAGAAATTTTGTTTCTTCATGTGTTACGAAAAAGAAAAATCATAACTGAAAAGGGCTTCTAGTAAGTCTGTTAAATAGAAATTGGAGAAAAACCCTATCTTGAATTTATTGCCCAAAGCCGTTTTCTGTAGAGGATTGGTATTGAAAGAATTCAGATTTTGTGTGAAGAAGGTTAGAGAGGTGTTGGATATGTATCATTAATCTCAACACTGGGGAGTGCCAAGGTGGATAGAAGGGCTATACTTGAAAGAGAATTAGAGACTTTTCTGAGCTAGGTATTTGTATTCTGTATTTAAAATGCTTCATTATGTTTAGAAATATTTTGTATGGTTGCTCTTTCCTGCTGTTGAAATGGTGACTGTGTAGCAATGACCTGAATAGGTACACAGGTTGTGAGTAGCAGATGAGGGGAGAGCTATTTGTGCCTTGCTTTCCAGGTACTTTCTCCAGTTGACTTGTGTCACTTTTGATCTTTACAAATCATGAGTTCAGTCAAGACAAAACTGTTTTTGTGATGTTGGGTTTTATATCAATCCTCTCGTTCGTTGGCAGCATGCTGTAGCTCCCAGCAGCTGATTCCTCAGCTGAGGTCCCTGGTTGTATTTTTGTGTTGATTTCCAATGAAAGTGATCCAAATGCAGCCTTCAAATTCTCTTCTTTACTGCTTGCATAAATTCCCGTGTTCTGTTTGAGTCTGAAAAATCAGTCTCTCCTTGATCATGAAATGCCTATTAGTTTTGCTACTCTGCTTAAGCTTGTTTTGTGCCTGTGATCTTTTCATAATTCTTTATGGAAAGGGAGGTGTTAGTCCATACCCTTCTTAACACAGTCCTTATTGGGTTAAGTTTTGACCTTCTTCCTTCACTACCTCTTCTGTGCCCTAACAGACCCCATATCAGCTAGGGGAGGCTGTCAGCAATATGGGGAGACCTGGGCACATCAAGAACCAAATGGGGCAAGTTCCTCAGCCCATTCCCAGGCCTACCACCAGAAGGATGCAGTTCCAGCAGCTAATTGCCCTAGCAGGAAATATGACAGGACACACTATCTGTGGCCTCCGCTAATGGCAGAGGCTGCGGGGAAACCCATCCTTTGCTGCGGCTGCTACGCTGAAGGACGGTCCTCAGGTAGGTGAGCTGTAGCTGTTACCTGTAAGTTAGGTGAAACTTAAAACATCTTTTTGAAACTTAAAACATCTGGTTGTGCTGTAGTCGTGGAAACTGTAGGTGGGGAGAGGTTTGTGAGTATGTTCTGCCTGCCATCACCTTGTCACCTGTATTACCTGCAGGTTTACGGAGCTTCCAGATACCGGGCACTAGAGGTCGGTTAAGCAGCTTAGTTTACGAACAAACACTGACTGAAATTCGGCTGTTTGTTGTAGTGCTTCAGAAGACAGAACTCTGTCTGTGAGAATGTGATGGCTGAGAGCTGAAAGCCTGAGTTTAAATTCATAGATGTGTTTTGCGTAGTAGAAGCTGGGGGGAAGACTGTGAAACTGAATCTTGATAGAGTAGTTCTCAGAAAATATTTTGAAAAGCGTCCTGATTTAGACTGTAATCTGTATCTTACTATCTTAAAATTTAGTCAAAACCTCACTGAGCTGTTCTTTCTGAAGACAGCTGCAAATCCTTTCTTGTCTGGATTTAGTTTTCCTTCTGCATTGAAGTCTTTAAGTTTTTTGGATTTTTTTTTTCTGTTTTGAACCTTGGAAAGATGAATAGTGTCCCATTTTCCCAGGAACACCTTTGAAACAAAGCTTTTAAATTTTAGCTTGTGTTCCTGGTAAGCATGTCAGCCACACCCAGCCACACTGGATAGAGATGATACATGTGGAACTGAATACAAGTAATTTGTATGTTTGTATTTTCATGGTTACAGGAACACTGAAGTAGCATGTAGGCCAGTTAATTTCAAATGTAATAGTCCTGCTGTTTCTAGAAGTGGTGCCCCATAAACAAGGCTTAGTTTTGTTGGCTTCAGATAATCATATTTCCCTTGTTTCTTTCTTGCATGGTGGAGATGAAAGTAAAATCTTTCAGAAAATATTGAGAATGATTCAATGCTTCTGACCTTCTGTAGCAATATTCCATTGACAAAAGTGGAAGAAGATGGAACTTCTGTCTTAAGGAGCTTAGATTTAGGGTTTCTACCTTTAGTTTCCAGTGTATGATATGAGATGATTCATGAAAGATGCAGTTGTAAGCAGAGCAGCAAGACTGGTAATAAGGTGGGAAAATACTAAAGGGTTTGACTTTAAGTAGGAACTATTATCTTGGCATTTTTGCTGTGTCTGTATTGCTTCCTAGGGTACTATGGGTCTTTTATGTGTTGCTTTTCAATATCTTGAGCCCAGATGTAACTACTTTTCATTAATATTACTAACACAGTATTAATAACACAGGTTATCTAGGGCTTCTAAGAAATCTCAGGTCTTGACAGTGAGAGAATCCTTTATTTTCCCGTCTTTTATTGCGAAGATGGGAAAACAATTCCTGTTTTCCTATCTCTGTACATATACATAAAATACATGTGTGTATAAAATACATAAAATAGATGCTTTTAGTATATAATGTATGTACATTGTATATTGAACACAATTGCTTGAAAGTACCCAGTTCCATTTAATATTTTTAGTGGAAGACTTTTGTGAAATGATTGCTAAATAAAAGGTCTTTTGAAGTGGAATTTCATCTTCCTCTGCCTGGTGAGGTCGTGTATTATCTGCAAAACACCATGCAAAAACACCATAGCAATGAGTCTTGACAACTGTTTTTGTCATTTAATTTGCAGGCTTTGGAGAATGCAGTTTCTAGTGAGATTCTCTTTGAAGGCACTGGGATGTCATACCATTCATAATATTCCGAGATACATAAATAATCTGACCAAAATGGTGCTTTCTGATAGAAAACTGTTGATAAGTTCAAATTACTGCATCTTGTTTTTGTTAAAAAAAAAACCAAAACAAAACCAAAACTGTAGCGTGCAGATAAGGGGCTCCACCTCCTTGCATTCAGTTGGGCTGACAGCTGGTGCAGAATCTCAGGGAATTCATAAGGTTTTAGCTATTGCTGGGTGAAGTCGCATTTGGTGTCAGAAGTAACCTCGCTGGCTTATGTTCTGGTGTTAAATTTATGAGCTCCCCAGTTTACTAGAGTAGCTTAGGGAGTGTTTGAGCCTATGTGCCTCTACTTCCACAGATTTACAAAGAAAGTTAATTCAAAAGACGAAATGTCATCATAGACGAGTGGATTTCTCTGAGGTTTTTGGACACTCTAAACAAGTCTCCTGTGAAAAAGATTCCCTCTGTTGTATGAGTCAGATGCTTCTTGCTGATATGAACAAACTGCTTCATCTGCCATGGTGGTTTAGGACTGCTTGGATTTTAGTGCCTCTTTTTGCTAGAACTGAATCTGTGCTAACACAGCAAAGCATAATTCCATCCTTCTGGAAGTACTTGTCTTGTTTGAAGAGTGATTTCACAGTGCAAGTGTGAGGTTTGTGGTAAGCACTGCCCTCAGCCCCTGAGCTGGGCGAACAGGAGCTGTTCATGCTGTTGTGCCAGGTACTGTGGCACCTGGTGGGGACAGTTGTCTCTTCCTCTCTCCTTCACACACCCAGCACATGCAGGTCAGTGCCACGCTGTGTGTGGAGCAGTGTCATCTACTTCTCTCTCCCTTGCTGTGACCTAGGGCAATACATTTTTTTGACTCTAGCGTTTGACTGCTATTCTAGGAAAAGGTCTTCTGGCAGACTGCTGGCAAGTGTCTAATTCACAAGTTTGAAGTGCCCTGTCAAACTGGTAAAATGACAAATCTTGCCAGCTTGCCTGTGAGAGTTCCTTTATGCTCTCAGACCATTGCAGTCTACAGCAGGACTGTTACTAATTTCACCCCTGTGTCAAAAATACTATGTGGTGAAAGAAATACTGTGTTTCAGATGAAAGGATGAGCTACATTTTGCTTTTGAAACTTTTTTTTTTTTTTTTTTTTTTTTTTTTTTTTTTTAATGTATCCCCCATCTCCTGCCCCGGGTGTTGGAACTCTCTCCTGAAGGCAGAGCGCAGAAGGAAAAGTGCTGCTGAGGCTCTACTGATAATTTTCATTAACATCTGAACCTCATGAATCACAGACTCATAGAATATCCTGAGTTTAAAGGGACTCACAAGAGTCATCGAGTCCAGCTGCTGGCCTGGCATAGGACACCCCCAAGAATCACACCATGTGCCTGAGAGCATTCCCCAAACGCTTCTTGAGCTCTGTGATGATTGATGCTGTGACCACTTCCTTAGGGAGCCTGTTCCAGTGCCCAGCCACCCTCTGGGTGTGGAACCTTTTCCTAATATCCAACTTCAGCCTTCCCTGACATAAGTTCAGACCTTTCCCTTGAGTCTGCCACAGAGGAGAGATCAGCATCTGCCCCTCTGCTTCTCTGGGCTGAGTAAGTTTGGGATGTTCAGCCTGGGGAAGAGAGGGCTCTGAGGATACCTTGTAGCACATTCCAGCACCTAAGTGGGGCTTACAAGCATCCTGGAGAGGACTTTTCACAAAGACATCTAGTGATAGGACAAGAAGGAATAGCTTTGAAGTAGAGGAGGGTAGGTTTAAACTAGCTGTTAGGAAGAAATTCTTTACTACCGGGGTGGTGAGACACTGGCATAAATTGTCCGGAGGAGCTGTGAGTGACCCTTTCCTACAAGTGCAGGTTGGATGGGGCTTGAAGCAATTGGGTCTAGTGAATGTGTTCTGTGGGGTTGGAACTAGATGATCATTAAATCCCTTCAAACCCAGACTGTTAGGTAATTTAGGGGCTGAAGTTTAATGTCATAAACAAGAAAATTGGCGCATGGTCGCTCATGGTAAAACTATTCTGAAACTGCTCTCTGAAAATGTCAGCTCTGTCTACCTTTTAACCACCTGCAGCAAGGTAATGTTTTCTGAAGTTCATGATTTTGCTGTTGTGGTCTGGTTTGCTTCCATATTCTGAAATTTTACTTGCTCACATAACTTAAAGCAGGTTCTAGTCTGCTTAAATGCAGAAACTTTGTCTTATTTTTTTAAGAGAAATCCCTACAAATAATCAAGTGGAATTGATGTAAAACCCACAGAAATCCAGTCTTAATATTTATAAAGGATCTTTTCTTCCTGGTGGATGCTCCGGTATTGATTGGAAGATTTTAAATAATGACTGATTGCTGTTTTGCTTTTGAAAACTTGTTGTAGCTGTAAGGTATCCTAAACCACTGGTAACACTCGAGAAGCCAGCAGAGGAGGTAGAGTCACCAGAGACGACCAGTGCATTTGGTACAGTAGAAAAAACCCAAATGGAAAAGTGTGTTTGCTGACATGTGCATTGCATAAGGCCAGCAGGCTGCTGGTTTGACAGACTTCCTGCATGCTTCTTTTGATGCATTTGGCATGTATTGTTGCAAGAAATAAAAGTACACAGTTTTTGTTCATGTTCATATAGAGCCTGCAGTCTCAAGAATTTCAGCAATCCCCATCTTCAGGTACTTATGCTTAACTTGACCAAGGTGTTTCAAGCACAGGTCTTTTGGAAACTGCTGTGCTATACTAGTTTCCAGTTAATACTTGACCAGAGCTTTCAGATGATGAAACAACTTAATTTTTTTGAAACAGCTCAGTATCAGCTACCTTATGTTTTCTTGGAAAGTGATGTGCATTAAATTACAAGGTCCAGATATAATGCAGGAATGATACTATTATTAAAAAAAATTATTTAATTAGCTGCCTTTGCTCTTTCCTGCTAAAGGTAAAATAAGATTGCTTCAATAAAAATAAAAGATTGCTCCAATTAAAATTTGTTTTGTCTTTTGCATGTGTTTAAGGATGTGATGAATACAAAATAGGTGTCATGCACAAATATCTTTTGTATTACAAATCAGAAAAAAATATCTGATTCTTAAGCCATTGTTCTTCAGCTGTGTCTTTTGTAAAATAATACATTTTAGAGCTAAAAGGAAAATCTGTTTCCCAATAACTCTCTTGTCCAGTACAAAAGCTGCTTTTGATTCAGGGCTTTTTACAGAAGATCACTTGAAATGCAACTTTTACTTAGAGTGCAACTTAAACCCTTGAGAGTGATAGATTCAAAACATTTAGATCTCCCTGCAACAGGCACGAATGCAGTAGATCATGTTTATTCTCTGAACACAGAGGTTCCAGTGTGTAACCTCAATTAAAAGAAAAGGAAATCTGCCAGTTTATCTAAGAAAGAAATTATTTAAAGCTGACTCATTCAACTGAAAACTCGTAGCTTTAGTCAGCCTCATTTATTATTTAATCAATGCAAATATGAAGCTACAGAGGCATCTGTTATCTCCAGAAAAAAATCTTTTCTAAAAACAACAAGTAAATGGAAAAATAAATATATCATGCAAGCAGAGTACTTAAAGAAGCTGTCTTGGGTCCTTGTGATGTTGTGGAGATTTTTTTTTTATGAAAATGGCTCATTTTGGGGAAAGTTGGACGTGAATACATGAGCTGCCTTGTGCCTCCCTTCTACTTTATCCTTAAATTAGCACGGTGATATTTCAAATATTCTGAAAGCATGCCTTTTTGTTTCTGTTTTGTTGCTGTGTGTGAGAGCTTCATTTAACAGTGAATGAACATGGAGTTTTTGGGACGTGACTAACTCATGCCTGAAACACATGCTTCCTCTGAAACATGGGGAGTGTTTTAAGGCAAAGCCCACAAAATACTTTTTTCAATCCACCAGAGTGCATGTTTCATTCAAAACTGTGGAGTATAAAACCATAGGTGTTTTTTTCCGGTGTTCATTTACTAGGGTTCTTAGATATTTATATGCTAATTGTTAATAAAATACCCTCCCTAGCAGCCATAATGCATAGTGATACTTGCTGTACTTTTCTCCTGCATCAGTTGCCAGTTTCATTTTGTATGTGATGGGCTCATAATATTCATTCATTTTTGGGTATCTTTTGAGGGTTTATTACATTTTATTTAGACTGAGATATTTTTGGCAAATATTAACTGATCATTTTTTAAAATCACATTATTTTCTCTAGATAATAGAAAGGGGAAACAGAAACATATTTAAGACTCTGTATTTTGAGATGGATCATATTCTGTATTAACTCTCCTATTGGCTTAAAGCAGCCATAAGAAGGTGATTTGTTTTATTATCTCCTACTGCTTGTGTGTAGGGATAAAACCTTTCCTTAATGCTGCTAAAATAGTTCATGGCTGTTAGGCATTTCAGAATTAAAACATGCCTTACTGTTTGGCAGTGATCCTGGTGAAAGGCTCCTGCATGACCTGGGGGAAGGACACAGCTTTGAAAAATCTTTCTAATTTAAGGAAAAATGGGAGACAAAAAGGTTTCTACAGTGAGACCAACTTCGACTGAGAGGAACCAGATACAGTGTCCAGAGTGGCCTGACCTTAGGTTCCCAAAGCTCACTTCTTGGACACAGTCTGGGACCTGTTGTCTGGGCTTCCCAAAACATTCTGGTAATGCTGGGGGAGGGTTAGGAGACAGTCCCTGGTATGTGATTCTTGTCCATGCCATGGACAGAGGTCTGTGCTTTGGGTTGTGCTGTCATATGCCAACTTGTACTGCCACAAAGCTCAGGTCCAAGTCCTTACTGGAAGCCAACAATTGCTGCACTTTGACCTGATACATTTTTCTTTTAGGCATTATCAGTTTCTGGTTATTGTACTGTTACAGTAACTTTTAAAATTATTTGCACTTGATAGCATTTGACTTTGTGCAGTGATCTATCTCTTAGTGCTGGCTGGTTTGCTGTAACTTATCTTACACTAGGGGTGTGAATCATCAGTCTCCAGGAGGATATTATCTCATCTTTCATAACAATCTGAATTGGTAGCAACTGTGGTTTTTTGCTTTATTTAATTTAGTGGAAGACTGGAGAAAAATGTGCATGGAACAAACCAATTTCTTTAGCCAGCTGCCCTTTCAAATACCATCAGTTTGTATTTTCAGATTACAGATAACCTCTTGATCCAGTTGTTTCCAGTTCTGGCTACAGCCTGATTTTCACAAAGTGCAAGTAAAGCTTTGATGTTACAAACAGAAGATTAACTGTTTTGCTCATGAGTGAGATTTAACAATTTCCAGCTAGATTTCCAGCCATCTTGTCTAATAAAGATTTTTGCCATAAAGAAGAGATGGGAGAACAGCTTGAAATCCACTACTCCTTCCACAATTTCATTATATATTGATATTATTTTATGGAGTAAAGTAAATCAAGTAAATAGGTAGCTGCAAAAGTGACAGTGCTATTATAAATAATCAGCCTGGTGACCTTTTCCTCTTGCAAATATTAACAGACTTCTGATTCAGTGTCCTTTTCCTTGAACAGAAGAAATGTACCAATGTGCAGTTGAGTTCTGATAAATCACAAATGTCCCAGGCTGAAAAAGACTGTCCTTATTGGGAATTATATGTGACCTTTTATAAGTTTTTTACTTGTTTATTGGATCTGGTTTACCAAAACAAACAAAAAAAAAGTGTTTGGATTTGTAAAGTTTTCACTGTTGGATTACATCTCAGGGTTGAGTGCTAGGAACCTGTTGTATTGTATCTACCTCTTTTCCATTCTTACATCAGTTTTTGCTGTTGCACATTAATATGGCTGAGTTTTACTGTTATTTGTGTCTGATCCTGTGTTAAAAGTTCAGTTAAAAAAAGCTCACTTTAATTACTTTTTCCCAGCCGTAGAGGAAAAGCATTCTCCTGGGTTTCCTGCAGTGGGTAAGAGCAGGCCTGGATGAGCTGTGGATGAGGTGATGTGTAGTAGATGTGACTTGGCCATATGGGTGTGGATTTACTGCTGGTTTCACCTTCACCTGAGGTGTTGTAAAGAGTGTTCTGTTCTTCCCCTGTCCCAAAAACCTCTGGGTATGAAAGTCTGAATTCTGCTTCCCATCCTAGCACTGCTGGTCTGCTCTGGGCCTGACTAAGAACAAGTGCCAGAATAAAGAAGTCCCAAATACATGATCAGGAGGGAATTTAGAAACAGGAGGAAAGGTATCAAATCACCTTTTGCAGTAACAACATGACTTCAGATCACTTCAGGGTGCAGTTTTGTATTTGACCTAAGGTTCTGCCTTTCCGTTTTCTCATGGGAAGGGCCAGGAGGGTTCTTGTGCCTCAGGCAGGAGTCTGTTCTGGGATCTGTGTCACTAACAGCACATGGTGACTTGCACTAGTAAGCAATATTGGTTTCATCTCTCAGATTATCTTTGCAATTTTGGCAACTACTTGAAATTATGTTTTTTACCTCAGCATTTGTCTTGTGCCTAGGAAGGGATCTGCCTCTCCTCTTCCTTCCTCTGGCTCTTTATTCAGGATTATTCATCATGGTCTGAGTGGCTGCCCCCCACATCACACAGTACTTCAGCTCTGCAAAAAGCAATCTCAGCCTGAATCCATCCCCTTCTTTGCTGCTGGAAAAGGGGCTGTGTAAACATTGCACAGATTTTGGAGAAGCAGAGGGAGAAGAGAATGAGGGAGGGAAGGATGCTGGAGGCACACTCTGATCAGTCTCCATTGCACACCATGAAAAACTACAGGGGTACATATTTCATTAAGATCTCCAGTAAATAGTGTCATTGCAGTGTGTCACTGATGTGGACAGTGCCACAGCATACTTTCCATTGCCATGGGGAGAAGTGTTAAATACATTAGATTCCATATTTCCTCTTTTGTGGAAAACAAAACAGGCTTCTGTATGCAGAAAACTCTGAGCTGAGGATTTGTGTTCGTACTTCACTAATTCTCAAGCTGATTAGCAGAATGGAGGTGAGGGGTGTAATTTCAGCACTCACAGGATTCTGCTGCCTGCTTACAGTGAAGCTGTGACAAAAGAGCAGGTTAGAAAAACCCTGTCAGTGGAAAAGGGGAAATGCATAAAGATGAAAAACAAAAACTGTCCTAAGTAGCAGAACCACGTCTTTCATAAACTGACACTGGGTACTTTCTGGGAAGATTAAGAAGCATTGGGTTTAAATAGATGGACCAGATGTGCAGCTGTTCATAGAGCAGAGGTCCTTGAAGCAGCTTTAGAGGCAGTGTGCACAGCTGGCACTTGCAGGGGTGTGACGGGAACTGAAGCTTGCGTTGGCTCTGCAGCTGGAAGCTGCAGGAAAGCACTGGTGATTGAATCCTCCTGAGAGAGGCCTCCTGCTTGCCAGAGGCTGGAGAAACACTGACCAGGAGAAGGTTGTTCCTTTTTTTGTTTTGCAGACAAAAAGCAATCGGTTGAAAGAATAAAAAGTTAGCTTAGTCAGAACTGTTC